ATCACTATCTTATCTTTTTTGCATTATTTTCTCTTAAATTTTTTAACTAAATCTGGTTTTGTGCCCAATAAAGAGACAATATTTTATTTCCAATTTTTTTTTATAGACATTTTTATTATTTCCAAGGTCAAGCCCAATGAAGATTGCTATGGTCTTCTTTAATTTCATGCAGAGAAAACGAAAATTAAAATGAAAAAAAACAGTTGTAGAATTTTTCTTTTCACAAATAACTGTAAAAGTATATAAAGAAAACAAGTGCTAAAGTTTGTCAGCGCAGCCCCTTTCGAGCTGAAATATGGAACTCACGTATGTGCTTTCGAGTTGTTATCCTAATGCATTATTTCTAAACTGAAAAATAGTTTTCTTTTCGAATAATTACGAATGCATTTGAAAATTGTATAGGATCTGAATTATGTACGGTTGTTGAGGTCTGGAATAGTGGCCTGTCTGTAATGGGGTGGGAGGAGGAGAGCCGGAAAACCTTGGCCTTAAAACTTACACTGACTATTTTCTTCGAAAATATACGTGAGCTCCACAATAAAATAAACGTTCCAGGGAAGATATCGATTAATGTGTTATATGAATGATATTTTTGAAAATAGGTGTATGAAAAAAAACTTCAACATCAAAAACAAAAACTTTTAAAACGGACTAAGATACAACAAGAGTGTTCCGTTTCCTGCAGTGTAATGAGTGATACTATTTTTGACGACAATGCGCAATATTTTGTTTGTTTGTGATAAAAGAATAATTAACAAAACTTCAGTTCTTTCTCGTTTGCAAGCAAAGTCAAATTCAACTTGGAATCCATGAATCAATAGTCATATACACGATAATTTAGTAATTAAGTTTTAAAAGGCAAAAGAAATATTTACTAACTTGAACAAGACACGATAAACAAACTCTAGACCTTGTCTGTCACGATCCGCGGAGAGGAAAAGAAGGTAGATCCAAATTTCTATCACTAAAGAATTCAACATTCATTTCAGATCTTATTTGACAAAATTGATTCTTCTATGAGGAAGCTTCAAGCTTTTAAGAAAGTCCCTGAGATGATCGAGCACCGTGGCAGATATCGAACTACTGGATAAAATCTTGATTTTTTTATGTTCTCATTTTGTTCAGCATGCTCTAAAACCTTTAAATCCAAAATTTTAGAGCATTTGGTTGAGCCATTGAAAAGTTAGTTCGATTGCACCTGTCGGGGGAGGGGTGAGCCCTGGTTGAGGAAAACCATAAAAAATCCTGCATAGAAAGTTAAGATTCTTTTTGATGACAATAATTTCATGAAAGTTTTCGTGTAATATAGCAAAAGATACAGCTTCGAACGCTGAACAAAATCATCTTTTAATATGTTAGGTTTCCATGGACTAATCGAGAGTTATCTATGAAATACTACCTGACTCACTATTTTCGAGTGCAAAAATGAGTCGGTTTTTGTGCAATATATTACACTGTATCAGCTCCCATTTAGTTATTTTAAGAGATCCCACGCTGAATCGTTTACATGTTGTACAACTCTTTTTCCTCTACAAAACGATTGTAAAAAAATTAAAAAATTTTGAATGTTGTCCAAAAATGGCTTACAAGGTTGATCAACTAGACAGTGTCGATGAGGAAAAATTATTATGAATATTTTTCTGGGAAAAAAACAAAAGCTTAAGAAAACTATGATGTATCTAAAGTATTTTTCACACAAGTACGATATATTTCAATAAGCAAATCGTCTACATAAACTGTTGAATTATCATTTATCGTAATTTACGAAGGTAAAATGGGTTAGCATTAGCTGATCTTATAGAAGCATCATGTTATGTAAAAGAGCTGAAAACACTTTACAAGTCGATTAACGTTCAATTATACTTCAGTGGAAGTTAAAGTATTGTTTAAGTAGTTGTATACTTACTTTATACAACATGCAGGATTGTTGGTCACGTTTAAGGGAACCTTATTCGTGTTTCTCTTCTTCGGCACATAGAGCCCATAATGCCTGAAGAGGAGGGACATTATTCGGAAAACACATGTTCCTTTATTGTTTATGAGGGGTACTTGGAAAAACCGCACTCATGCAAACAATATAATTCTTTATCAATGGTCATTATTCAGAAAACCCGTGCTCATTGGTATGTTCACGCGAGCATAACTCGGTAAAACCGTACCCATCCGTTTATTTAGAATGACTTAGCTCTAATCCGATAAACCTGGTTCTGTTTTATATTTGATTTGATTTTCCTTAATGTCAAAGGAGCGGTTGTAGCTGGGAATACATCTAAAGAGATGATTCAACTGCCATTTTAGCATTCATACTAAAGCTTTCTAGCATTTTGATCTCTTATAGAACAATTTCAATATCTTGCAAATCTTGGTCTAATGTTTCAAGTTCAAAGTCAACTTCCTCGTTCTCAATATCATTACCAGTATTTTTGACGGGTTTATCTTCGATGACAACTTTACTATCTGATAAATTCTGAGTAGCAATCATCTGTCGTTCGCGTTTTAGTTGACAGAAAAATGAACAAACCTCATTTTCATTTTAAACTTCGATAGCCGAAAAGTAAAGCTTGCCGTTTTCTTTCAAGGTCTCCCTATCTAATACAAACTGTTTCGGTTTCTAACGTTTCATACCGGAAACGCCTTCATCAAATTTTTGTTAAGGTACCTACGCTGTTTATCTGGAAAATGTATGTTCAGTCTACGTATGGGCAAAGCCCAACCTTAAGGAAGAGAATTCATTTCGTGTGTGAGTGTATGGAGATGGATGCGTGTGGCTGTGGGTGTCTGTGCATGATGAGAGCATCCACACGAACACCCAAACCTACACCTGCATCTCACGCCCAAACCCACCGGCGTCTGTTTTGTTCTAAATTGACAAAAGCTTCTTGCCCCTTAAATTGTCGCAAAACAAATCATTTTAAAATATTTAAAATACTTCTAATGGAACTTGACGAGGCATCCACAGCCGACGGCCATTATGATCGAATTAAGGCTATTTGTGGACAAATCAGGCTCGTAAGTTTTCGCAAAAGAGGTTTCGATTTATATGGTCTCAGCAATTTAGATGGATTCGCTTTTAACACCGATACGATTTGCACGCGTTACTCATTTCAACCTAGTTATTCATAAGGTAGACCAAGAAGTCAAATCATATCTTCAGCGGACATCTTTAGGCGTTCAAAATATGGTTCCAATTGACGTCATTGCAGATGGCAATTGTCTCTATAACTCTATCGTATGTTTGACTGATAATACAGTTTTGATATCTTGCGAACCGAGAGGTAGGTACTTCCAACTTTACTATCCAGTTCTGTTAATACAATCTTTCTAGTTCAAAATGTAACAGAACTCGTAAAAAATGAAACTCTCTACAGCAATCGCCTTGCACATATTGTTGGACCACTCAATGAGGTGATAAAAATATCACCCATAATTTTTCATTCTCGGAACTTTATGAAATCGCAGCCTTGAGCAATGTCCTCCAATGCAATATACGAGTTATATATCCTAGAATTGATTATCGACCTGATCTAGACATCATGAATAGTACGTTTGAGCATGCTCAATCCAGTATTTCATCTAAAACAATTTATATATCCTGGTCACATACTCAAAGTGAAAGAGACACAAGTAAAAGTAATGTTGGTAATTGGACACCTAATAATTCCGTACCACTTTTACTTCCGTCAAGTGAGTCTCAGAATCAAAATAACCTGACTGAAGCGAAAGCCATTGGTTCAGGCTTGGGGAGTTTAATATTTTAGTACAGAGCTGTTTACATAAAAAACGCACTTTCACTTACAGACGCACAGTGGGGAGCCAGGCGGACATATGCGAAAATTTTCTTTCCCAGAATCTAACCGTTTGCGTAGACACATGCATATCTAATCTATCATTTCCTAAAATAGCGGTTCTCCAAGTTTTATAGAGTCCAAGAAAAGAGCCAGCCAAGGCTTGGGCCCAGAAATCAGCATAAATAAAGAAAGTCAAACCGCTCGGCAATATAACACAATATTCCACAAGCAAACAATATCGCAAAAAACTTGTTCACCTATGGACTTTATGATAAAAAGAAATTATTGTAATCTAATTTAAAATAGAGTAGAAAACCAGGAGCCTCTATGCCGAAAACCTACCCGAAAACCTACCGTTCCGTATATTAAAAACCCTACAAAGGGGTAACGTCCGATCGAGCTGAAATTTTTACCAGATACTCCTGCCTATGTATCCTAATTATGGTAGTAGCGTGAACTCGTAAAACTTTTCCTAGGCTATTCTACAGGATTCCCAAAAACTCATGCTTTTTGGTCGAAAATCCGATTTTATGCTTCCATATAACGTTTTAAAGAAAAATTAAGGTGATATTTGGAATCAGCTCGTCGAGCTGCATCAGACCATATATAAAAAGAGCCATTTTTGTCGAAGTCATTTTTGGCAAAAATTTGGCCGAAACTAGCTGGTATGACCGGAAATTCAGTTTTAGGCATTCATATTACATTTTGAAGAAAAGCTAAGGTGATATTCGGAATCAGCGCATCAAACTACATCGAATGATATGTAGCTTAACATATTTTTCAAAAAAAAAGATTTTCGAAAAAAAAGGCTGAGGTCCCCCCGAGCCATATTTTTCGAAAAATTTTTTTTCTTAAAAAACCTATTATTTTCTTAAAAACGATTTTCGGAGCGATATACTGTCATTTATAGTCAAATGAAAGCCATTCCTAAGCAAAAAAACCGCATGTCCGCCTGCTTATGCGAAAGCTCCCCACTGTGAGACGCCAACTAATTTGACAACGAAGAACAACGTACTAACTCAAATTCGCATTTCTGAATTTAATGCGGAGAATGAAAAAATTCAACAATTTCAAACATCATCGACTTATTCCACGGTAAGTCAGGAGATTGCAACAACTTCTCGAACTAAACGAAGACTACAAGCAAGTGAGACTCACACGAGCGCGAAGAACACGAATATTGACAAGAGACGATTCCAACCTTGTCAAACGATGGCTGTTAAACGAGCTCAAGCTACATTGGAGGAAGCTGAAAGACAGCGGATGCTTGCAAGGGAAAGAAGCGCTACCAGAAGAGCTGTCTTTACACCCGAACAACCTGAACGAGAGCGTAAACTTGCACGAGAAAGAAGTGCAACTAGAAGAGCTGCTTTAACATCAGAACAGGTTGAACATGAACGTACCGTGGCTTGAGACAGAAGTGCAGCTAGAAGAGCTGCTTTAACAGTGCAAGAAATCGAAGAACAGCAAGAGCTAACTCGTGAAAAATTTGCAGCATGGAGGGCTACTTTTACATCGAAAGAAATCCAGCTACAACGAACACTTGCTGTCGAACGAAGTATGAATAAGCGAGCTACTGCATCATCAAAAGAAGCTGAATAACAGTGTATGGTAGCTTGCAAACGAAGTACCGCAAGACAAGCTGCTTACACATCTCATGAACTCGAAGGGCAGCGTGCATCTGCTCGTCAAAGAAAGTGGCTTCGATAAAGTAACAAGCACCAACATGAAAGTAACGACTTTGAATGGCCAAAACCTATTGATATTGAACGTAAGAAAAACTGTTTAAAGCACTTTATTCAACATATGTCGATGAGTTCTCTGCAAGTAGGTGTTTGCGGTATTTGTAATGTTCGTTGCTACAAACGTGATTTCTACCATATACCGTTCAGTAAAATACCGTCTATTGAATTACTGAAAGTACCCGACGATTTTTATGAGATAATTTCGGGAATGCAGGAAACGTACCAATTCCAGTCACATGATAAGCTTAACATGAGTGGTGATCTTGCCAAGGCGTTGATTCAGAAAGAAAGAGCAGCAGGTTAGTCTCGCTAATACGTAAAATAATACAGTAAATAATTTTTTTAATTATAGATACGCATGCTCAATCAACAATGAATAAACAGGCGTTTACTTATGTAAACGGTATCGTTTTTTATGAAGCAGGATTGCATAAAACTGTTGAGAGAAAAAAACGATATTCGATACACTGCGATATTTGTTCGGAGTGTTGGTCGTCTCTAATAAAAGGAAAAGTACCGAAATTTTCGCCTGCCAACAAAATATGGGCTGGAGATGTCCCAGAAGAACTACAAGGACTAACAATTCATGAGGAAAAACTGATCTCTCTTTATCGGCACAATGGCTGCATTGTCAAGTTACATTCGTCTTTTCATTCGACAAGTACAGTTCAGTAAGCTTTAAGGAGGAATTTCATAAGTTTTCCCCAAGAAGTTATTAACGTAGCTACTACCTTATCACTAGATTTACATGATCTATGTGATTCTCTAAAGATAATCTTTGTTGGATGTCGTCCTCATCAACGAAACCAATTAAAAAATGTTTTGACCGTTCGGAAAAAGAAAGTTTTCGAAGCACTTCAATGGCTTAGACAGAATAATGCTCTATATCGTAATGTTACAATTAATCAATCAATAATCAGCAAATTACCTGACGATGATGTACCGGAGTGTTTGTGGGCAACTATGGAAATTTCTACTAATGTAGAAGCAGCTGAAAATGAAAGAGCAAGTTACATTCCTGATCCGTTGACCAATGCATCTGAATTTAACAATAGAACAGCTATACCTATAATCTCAAGGTAAGACAAAGAGACATGTAGATATGCTTGCACTAATATTGTTTATGTTATAGTGCTGTGTTAGATGTCAATGGTACCAAAGTGTCGTCTGATGAAGTTGCTAAACATCTTTTAGAACGAATCAAAGCACAAGTGCCAGAAAAAACACACGGAAAAGACACCGAGCAAAACTCTAAACAAGACACTGTATACATAATTCCTCGTGGCAACAAACCGGCCAATGAATATTCTAATCCAAATCTTTTATTAGGAATCTTTCCCACCTTATTCCCATATGGATGTGGTGGGCTTGAGGATGGTTCTCGACCAATTCAAATCAATTTTCGTGAGCATCTCAGATATCTTCTTTCGTACGCAGATCGCCGCTTTGAAGAACACTACTCATTTATATTCCTTGTCTTCAATATTTTACAACGCCGAACAGCATGTTTCCACGCCCAATTAATGACAACAAGATCATGGTTTCAACAATCTGCACAAGTTCGTAACTCATTGAGTTCTGAAGATGCAGCAACAGCCCTTATTAATATCTCAAAAGCGCCTTATTCAAAAGTTACTGACGAGAGAATAAATACGTTGATGAAGCACATCAAAATTATTGGTGGTCACGTCATGGGTTCAGCTCATTCCCGATCAGCTCTTCGTACGAAAATTCATTCTTTATGTTTTTATCTTGGTCTTCCTAGCCTTTTCCTCATAATCAATCCGGCCGACATCAATAGTCCAGTGGCACTTTACTTTGGAGGTGTCGATCTCGATCTTGATAACGTTCTGCCAGAAGTCCTGCGTACAAGTTATGAGCGTGCTCAAATTGTCGCGACACACCCTGTTGCAACTGCAAAGTTCTTCAACTGTTTAATAAAAAGCATTTTGAAAAGCCTAGTGCTGGGCGGTGTATTTGGTCTTGCAAAAGCGTATTTCGGCACTGTAGAGAGTCAAGGAAGAGGATCGCTCCATTTACATCTCGTGATTTGGCTCAATCATGAATATACTCCAGCACAATTGAAAGAAAATATTCAAAATCAAGATTTTCGTGAAAATTTACTAAATTATTTAGAAGATATTAAAAAAGAAGCTTTAGATTCGTTTCGAGGTAATATATTTAGCATTGTTCGAATCTGTCATTTGAAGTTGTTACATTTGCCTACTTGATGCTGTTTTACACCGTAATAGTGCATCACTGCCTTACCTTGAACTTGAGCTTTCAGAACATTTTAAAAATTTTCATTAATCCAACGCATACTTCATTCCGATTACTTATTCTTACTATATATTTATGAGATTTATATTTTTTGTACTTTTGAATATCAATATTCTTTTTTAAGATGAAACCAACGACGGAGCAAGTACGACAAGCGATGATAGAACATTAATTGGTGAGCTTTGACGCTTTTAGTAGATCTTTAATTATAATTCTCACTTCATCTTAGGACAAATTGAATCGACAGCAAGTGAAGTTATACCACCATGTCTCCCGACACCAAATCCTGCATTGGAAGGCTTCGATCAAACGTTTCGCAAAGATGCAGTTCAATTGGTCGAAACCTGCAATATTCACAAGCATTTTGCAGCTTGCTATAAATATTCTAAAGGCAAAAATGAGAGTTCAAAAATTTGTCGAAGGCGCATGCCACGTGCACTAGTGAAGGTTTCTAATATTGATCCTACGGCGGGACAAATAACTATGCGTCGATCGCGCCCGTGGATCAATAACTTCAACGAATGGCTCTTAACTGCATGTCGATCAAACATGGACATTAAGTTCATCTGGAGTGGAAATGACGCTAAAGCATTAGTTTACTATATAACTGATTATGTAACAAAATCTACTCTGGCCTTCTATCATATGTTTGCGCTGGCACAACAAGGCATCAAATCTATCGAGCATGAACGAATTTCTAATAGCACAGATAATATTGTTGGCAAACCGCGCAAACTAGTGTTACGCTGCTTTAATATGATTGCTTCACAACAAGAAGTTTCAGGTGTTCAAGTTGCGTCATATCTAATGAACTATGGTGACCACTACACTACACATACGTTCAAAAATCTTTTTCTCATTTCAATCGAAAACTATCTACAAACAGAACTAAATAAAGCATGAATTAACGAAAAAGAAATTGTTGAAGAGAGAATAGATGGTAGAAATTTTTAAAATAATTCTATAGATTTTTAATATGTAGTTTTCTAGAGACTTCAACGTCTTTCTACGATGAACAAGGAGAAGATAAAAGCGAAATCGAAGAACAATTTTCATTAGAACCCACAAAAACCAACAACGGCGATCAGTATGTCTTGGTCAATACTCGTCTTGACTATCAGCATCGATCAAAGGATCTAAGTACATTGTGTTTATATGACTTTGTGAGCCATTTTCACAAGAAGGCTATCGATAAATCGGATCGTCATTTACTAAAAAATGTAACCGATCCTCAGGGCCAACAATTACCTACAGAAGGAACGAAAATGAATGAACGTCATACATTTGACAGCGTACATCCACAATCAACATCTCATCTCATAATTAAACGTTCCATTCCAGTAGTACCAGTTCTGACAGGTCCTCAAATACCTCGCCGCGAACGAGAAGAAACACATGAACGTTATTGTCGCGCGTTGTTAACATTATTCATGCCATGGCGATCAGTCCAGAACCTTTGTGCAACGAATGAGACATGGTCTGAAGCATTGGAAGCTCGAAGGCTGTTGATCTCTCCCAACTCGCTTAAGATTATAGAAAATATAGAACTTTTGCACGAATGCAAACACGATCGGGATGAACATCTTCATCAAGTTCTTTTAGAAGCCCAAAACGACAACAGCATTGACCCTATTTTGATGCCTAATTACTATGAAGGCGACGAAAATGCAGAAGAAGACGATCCTGAACAACTTTTGAAAATGCCCTCCATCGTAAATGAGATCACGACAAACACTTACTCTGCATTGGCAGCTACTCAAGAACAACGCTATGTTCATGATGCATTACAAGCAATTGATAATACAGATAGATTTGCATTACTAAATGGTGAGTTAATTACTATTATATTTCGAAAATATTTTGTTTTGATTTAGACAGCAGACACATTTGGCACCAAAATAATTATGGCACCATACACGACGTCCACACATTTGTCGTAGCTCGCAAGCATCATACGACCATGATTAAAGAGTGGAAACGTGATATTGAAGCCCGACGAGACGAAACAAGGAACTATTTAATTTCAGGTGAAGATACTCTGGAAGTACGAGATGATGAAACACAGATTGAAGTCGTAGGTGCTGAAATTCCAACAAGCCCAATTAAAACGAAAGCTACGAGAGTCCTACCTGTAACTGCAACCAATTTGGTTTTATTTTCCACAAAACAGAATATCGTCAAACAATTTACACTAAATACTCAGCAAAAATATGCTTTCATGATTATAACTAGTCACTTAGATGGCGAAAATCATGCTCATACCGGTATATTTTCTTGATTTTGCTATTGAAAATTTTGAATAGTCTTGATATTTAGATACTATCGATAATCAGTTATTAATGTGCATACCTGGTTGCGATGGCACTGGAAAATCTCAGTTAATTCGTGCAATTACCAAGTATTTCCAAGTAACTAAGAGGGGCAAGATGTTGCGTAAACTGGCGCCAACGTCTATAGCAGCAGCTGAGATTGACGGATTAACTATCCATTCATTTTTAGGTGAAAGTCGCAAAAGCACTAAAAAGAAAAATACCCGTACATTTAGACCTGGCGATATGAAATTAGAAAATGAATGGCGTCATGTGAAGTACTTGATAATCGATGAGATGAGGATGGTAGGACTTAGTCTCTTAGGTCGTCTGAATCGAATAGTGAAAACAGCCAAGCACGTAAATTCTGAGATACCTTTTGGTGGTGTCAATGTCATTTTCTTCGGCGACTACCTTCAATATTCTCCTGTTTTGGACAAGCCTCTCTACTATAGATGCTCATCTACACAGCAAATTACAGAATGTCAGATAGATATAATGTGTGCACAGAAGGTCATGTCTGAAGTAAACTGCGTTGTTGAATTAACTCAGCAAATGCGGACTGAAGACGTAAGATATTTGGAACTTTTAAATAGATTAAGAAATGGATACTCGACAATAGAAGATTACCCACTTTTGTGTACGAGAGTCATAGGAAATCCAACACTTCAAGTATCTCTACAACAAAAGCCATGGAACGAAGTATGCATACTCATTTTCTCTGTGTATCACATTACTTTTCTTTCAATAGGCTCCAATACTGGTTTTTCGGAATACGCTACGGACTCAAATTAATAATAGAGCTGTCTTAAACAAAACAATGGAAATGGGACTTACCCCAATTGTATGCATTGCTCAAGATTATATTCAAGGAAAACCAGTGGATGATCTACGATTATGTAAAGTCATACTTGAACTACCTGACAATAAAACCGAACATCTTCCAGGGTATCTGCCTCTCGTACCAGGAATGCCAGTTTTACTCACAGAAAACATCGCTACCGAACTGGGACTCTCCAACGGTACACGTGGAATCTTTCGTCAACTTGTATACGATGAATCACCAGAAGATGTTCGATACCAGGATAAGAATTTTCCACCAAATACCAAGTTTATAACGCAACCAAAGTACGCTTTAGTAGAATTTCCTGGTTGCAAACTTAATACCAAACTTGCTGAACTGCAGTCCAAAATAGTTCCTATAGCTATTAGTGAAAAAACATTCTTGTTCGACGCCAAAGAACTTCTTCCAGAAAATGTAGCAAAAGCAGCCAAAATAAATAAGAAAACAACAAAACTCACCGTCAAACGTAAAGCACTTCCGCTTATACCCGCATACAGCATGACAACACATAAAAGCCAAGGCCAAACACTCGGTAAAATTATCGTCGATCTGGTGATGCCGCCTGGTCCAATTGAACTCGCATCGGTTTATGTTCCATTATCTCGTGTAAAGAGACTTGACGATTTACTAATCATACGTCCATTCGAATTTGGAACACTTCAAGTTAAACCATCAACGGCCCAAATAGAAGAACTTAAAAGATTAGATAAAATAGCACAAAGTACTCGGAAACGTTTTCAATTCATTGTTTAAAACAACAACATCCCAAGAGTGCCGTGATCTTCAGGCAAACCATCTAACTGATAAAAAAAACTCTATATTGCATGCTCGAAATCTGTCCATTATACAATTATAGCCATTAGATCATTTGTAAAACCTCTATGAAACTCTATTTGAAATAAAAGCCATCAAGATAAAAGAGAATGAAAAGAATTTGAACAGTGTAAACCCGCTGTATCCGTAGGAAGTCACTATTGCTTGCGCATTCAATCCGAATCCCAAGCAGCATTTGACAGCTATACACTACAACAAAAGCTACATTTCACACGCGCCATATCAGAAAACTTTCTTAAGTACGGATTTCAGAAAGGACCAGTAATGACAACATAGTTTTCTTACCAACATCGCTGCTAATACTCGCAGTGCACTTTCATGGGACCTCGTCGTAATAAACCGACAAACTATATCGAGAACTAAAGGTAATCGAACGACCCTCATTTCATTAAATAAACTTCCATAAACAACAAGCATAGTAGCATTAGCTACCACACCCCACTAAAAATTCCAGAAAATATCGAAGAATACTGCCTCAATAGGTTTTCCAACCATCCTCAAATCTAAACTTTCAGTTGCAAAACATATAAGGAGCATATAGGTGCAGGATCAGTGTGGGCCTCGCTGTGGGATGCATAAGAACACGTTTCATTTAATCCCAAGTCCAAACACACACCAACACCCCAACCCATCCAAACGTACCCAACATCTACACCCACACTCACGCACACCCAGACCCGCACACTCACATCCACAGCCACCCACACCAATATATACACCCACACTCACCACAACCACACTCCATCAAAACCACACCCCATCAAAACCACACCCTACATCATACCCCACTGACACCTACACCCACACTCACACCCTCACCCACACTCACACCCTCACCCACACTC